GCCTGTCACAATTACAATAGACACAGCAAACCAGAATTTTCCCCAAATCCAAGGGGAACTTCCTGAACAAAGAGTAAATTTTATTGCACAGATTTTGGAGACCTCCAATTTGTAGAGCCATAATGAATGCATCCCACAGACAAATAGGTAGTTGTTAATTATCCCAGCAATTTCTTTTTTTAATGTGCTAACAACACAGTGTGCTAAGCCTTCATGTCCTGCACTGTTACCTGATGATCTCATCACATCTGAAAAGATGGTCGTCTGGGAAGAAGGCATTACTGTTATAGCAAGTATGCATGACAATAAGTCACATGATTGTAATCCCTTCCTTTCATGATTTAATAAAAAGTGTCATATTTTGGAAACAGATGAGTCTTGCTACACCTTTACTGAACCAACTGAAGTAGTTTACCTATAGTATCACTTTAAGATAAACAAAATCCTTGCATTTTCTTCAACTGACTAACTTAAAGCTTATAAATAATTTTATATCATCAAAGCATGCTGTGGGTAAGAAAACTGCTGAAGGGCAAAACCTATGACCTGAATAAGAACCCTCAATGAATTTAAAGGTGATTTACGCCTTTTACATAGTTTTCAATAGAAACCGGATCCTGGACATCTATTATGGAGAGGAAATTGTTCTGCTTTCTTCATATTGAGTAACAAACATTGGGATGATTCTAGTATTACACCTCTGAATAAACAGGAGAATGAGATACACCTCTTTATTGTGCCAAGTGTCTGAAAAGTTGACTGTTTCCTTCAAGATAAAACATTCTGAAAACACTGCCAGGTTCCTGCTTTGACTTCATTTTAATGAAATGTGAAGTCATTTTCATTTTACCAGCAATGTTCATTCTCAAGCAGTTTTTTAAAATCATGGGTCTGTGACTATACTGACTTCACTTTATAGTCGTTTGGTTTTCCCTTGTAATATTCTCCGGTTATAATATGGATTTGCATAACTCATTGTGCTTCACTGTGCTTTCTGAATTTCTTCCTCGTGTTCCTAAAAAAGGAGGATACAATACATTCTCACATAGGAGAAAGCATTCACTTTCATAAGAAACCACAATTGTTACTGCATCATCCCTAAGTACTCTTAAAGCTACTACCTTCAGAACATTTAAATGAAACTCAAAGAACCGATTTCCTTTGAAGAAAGTGATTAGCATATAAACACAAAAGAATCATTTCAGAACAGGACACACTTCCAGTGTATGACACAGTAAGAGTTTACTAATAATTAGAAAAATTCAGGGAGTCTGTTGTGGATAGAGCATCCTTTATTAGATCCGTATCACAATTCTGTGTGTTGACATGTTTTCCGGGTAATGACAACAACATATTTACCATCAGTTTGCCTGGATGCATGTACCCTCCCTATTACGATCGTGATCCTCAAGCCCAAGAGTAAAGAAAGCTCCCTGTATTTGGAATGTTGCTTTCTTGTGGGTAAATGTTCATGTCCTTACAGGTCAGCGAAGGTCAGAACTTATGGTTTATCTCAACAGTACATGTGTGGCCATCAAAAGAAATAAATCTTGGACTGTTGGTAGCTTCTGTGGAGATGTCTTTTATCCTACACCTGTGACAATTACCCTGTGTTAGTGAAGCCAACAAGAGTTAGGCCAGAGGTCAAGGGTCAGGGCACTGTCAAGAGGAAGTGATTCTTCAGTCCACTAAATCCTTTATCATTTTCATCTAATGTGATATCCACCTGTCAGTCAGAGAATGGAGGCCATTGTCTTGTTCTAAGTGCTGCACTTTCTGCCTCAAAGAGAGCACCTTTTACTCTTTTTCTTATAATTACCATTTTCTATCTTTAAAATTTCATCTCCAAAATAAACACATAAAAACATAATTTTCAGACTAAAATCAAAACAAGGAGTGATATTAAGTTTCAGATACTCCTGTTTGATTTCATGGCCCTATGTTGGGAATTGAGTCAAAAAAAATCAAACAAATGAATAACGAAATGAGTAGCACTGGAGAAGCAACAAATGGCAGAGAAGCTTGACAATGTAATGTGTGCTTAACTGTGTGTCTACACGTGGGCAGGCTCAGCCCAGATGTTATCGACTAGCACCATACCCAGCTAACAAGTATGTTTCCAGAATATAATACAGCATTGACATCTGAGAAAGTTTCAAAACGGACTTCGGTTGAGTTGATACGTATACACAGTGGGATCTGCTTATGCTATACTTGGACACAATAAAATTCCCTTTAGAATGTGGTGCAGGCCCAGTCATCCTAGAGGATAATAATTCCTCAAATCAATTCCTCCTATCATGAGATTCAACTTGCAAGGAAAATCTTATCTCAGACAGCCTTCCTAAACAATAAAAATTAAAATTAAAAAACAGAAAAGAAAAAATAAAGAAAAAAAATAAAGAAACTACTAGGTATCTCAAAGCATTAAAAGAGCAAAATGTATAATAGTTTGAGTCCTAAGGTTAAAAGTGACTAATTTGGGTTTTGAGACCTCCTCTTTCAATGCAAGGATATTAAATCACAAAGAAGCTTCACGTTATCTTTTGTCTCTAGAGACACGTAAAGTAAATCTCAAGCATTTTCTTATGCCCCTTTCCCTCTGGTAACTCCTATAAGAGTAATGGAGTGGGATGGAAAGTTTTAGAATGGAACTCAGGGATCATATACTTTAGCCTCAGGTCTGCTATTGGCTACTTAAATAGCATGAGCCCAGCTGTCAAAAGGGAGTGAGAGCTCATTATTCTCAACACTATGGATTTTTAAAGGCTTAACAGCATCTTTCAGCATCCTCACTACAGATAGAAGTCTCTCCTCTGTACTCCCTAAAAAGAGTTTTATCTTAATTCATAACAAAAACAGACACATTCCACTCGCTCGGCCTTGATCTTTTTGAGAATAAGGATAATGTATTCTTCATTTTTCCCCCCAAGTATTTAGTAGAGTGCCTGTTGAATTAGTCAATGAACGAATCATTCTTAGGGTCACTATCCATCTTCCTTTTTGCCTATTTTTTCATGTTTAATTGTTAACAGGCCCCATTCACTTGCAAAATTACCCAAGTGTGGATCACAAATTATACGATCATCATTTCCTTAATGGAAGTAGAAACTACTTATATCACTAGTTTACTTGAGATCAATTAATGTTCGCTCATATTTCTCTTTCCTTCATAAAATAACTTAAGTTCTTTCGCCTTTCTTTATTGTCTATTTTAAAGTTTGGAGATTATTTTAGTAAAAAATTGACACAGAGATGTGGACTTCTACATTAACTGTCATCCAACAATCAAACGCTCCGGACCCAAAGACAACTCTGGAGTTCTTACAAGTGTAAGGTTATAGGATTCTAATAAACATAGTCCTGTCCTTTGACGAGTCTCCCAAATTGTAGCTAAAGGTCTCACATTTTACTAATTATTTTAGGTAACCAACTCACTGCATTATTTGACATGGGTATACATAAAAATTACGTATTATTGCAGTTTGGCAAAAAAATAACCCTCTACTAAAAAGCAGAGAAACAAACAATGCATTCCAATAGGCCTTGTCTTGGGAAACTCTAATTCTGTACATAGGACACACTTGAAAGGGTGAGAGAGAAATAAAATTCTTATCTTTACAATAATTGTTACAACAAATGACAGTAAAATGTGAAACATGGTTCCAAAGTCGATATACCTAGTCTGTGTCTGAGTATAGCAATATATTAGAAACATGACTATTTCTGATTCTAGAATGAGAAAATGATTTTCCTAGGAAGCCACTCCCAAATTCAACCATCTCTCTGCCCACCCTGAACATGTTTTTCACTCATGCATTCAAACATCCTATATGCTGATACATCAAAGGCTCTGATTAATACGGAAATGAGCAAATAGAGAAAAAATGTGGTTCTGCAAGATACAACTTTTATAGATAAAACATTTTCAATATATTTTTCTGATTGAAATATAGACATTTATTGTAGGCTCTTTAAAAACCTATACTACTGTTACTAGTCCCATGTATTCAATATGTGATGCAATTTTGGCTTTTGAAGTAATATGTAAGCAAATGTTCTCAGATACTATTCACAGTAAATGAGCTGATTCTTACACTAGAATAGCCTGGCTACCTTCCATTCTATTTTAGTTCTATTGCTTTATATTCCTCATATCCTATCTAAGCAAAACTAGCGGAAAACGTCAGAGGAAATTTACAGGTTGAGTCGTGGCAATCACTTGTGACCAGCCACCAGCTGACTCACCAAACCACGGAATTGCTCTTAATATGCATATCACTCAGAGTTTAAAGGTGAAAATGAGAATGGTTCTAGACACTTCAGTATTTTCTAAATCTTTACAATAATCACATCTTTCACTTTATTTCAGCTTGAAAATAATATTAGTTGAGAGTGAGCAAAGACTGACAAGTAAAAATAATGACACCTCCTAGATTTCTCAATTTTCCTAAGTTCTTTTAGTCTTTCTCTTGATCACCTGTAATCCAACCTGAATTCAGCTGTTACCAAAAAGTTTGAAAAGCTAGTAACCACAAAGGGAAAGAAAAAGAAGTTTCTGTTTCTGTGCCTGAGTTATATACAGTCAGGAAAAGAAAACTTGGAATCTCTTCGAAACAAAGACCTGAATGGTTTTTGTGAAAGGCAGGTATATTCCTTGCAACGATCCGTAAAGGCTATTCTACTTCTCCATATTAGACATGTGATAAACCCTCTTTCCTCCGCGCAAGCGAGGAAACCCACCCCACATGGCCTCAATTAAACACAATTAAATCAGCCTCAAAATCAATTCAGCTGAGCACGGAAGTCAAGACGGTAGAAACATAATGGCTTCACCCTGAGTGTTCTGTAAGAATTAGAAGTACTCAAGTACCACACTCACTGTACACCAGAGACTAACACAACACTGTATGTTGACTATACCTCAATAAAACTTTTTTTAAGTATTCAAGTAGAGGAAAAGAAATTTTTGAGAAAAGGAGGTTCACGTCACCTCTCACCTCTGCTTGGTTCCTCTTGGCCTGCTGACTCAGACGCTCTGGTTCCTTTTGTTCTTAAGCTGTTCGGAGGTTCCGGTTCAACATGTCCACGAAGGAAAAGAGCCTGAACGCAGGAACTCCCACGGATACACCAAGTTTACAGTTACATGTGAAACACTTTCCCCGGGGAAAACAAACCAAACACTAGGAGAACGGCTCCTCCCCATCAGGGAAACCACTTCAGGGCAGGTAAGAAAGGCTGAGACACTTTCTCACCATAAACCACACCCCCGGCACGGCCGGGAAGGCCCTCAAAACCTGGAGCTTGTCCCTGAGGAGCCGAGGGTTTGTACCCAACACGGACACGCCAACTTCTAAGACCGCTTCCTGAGAGTCCAGCCGCCGAAAGGCCGGGCTTTGAAGACCAACCTGGCTCATGCGCAGAAGACGCACTGGGTGTGGCAAACTGAGGAACGGTCTTAAAGGGCCAAACCCAGAGTTACCCGCCCCGGGCCCAGCACGGCAGCGGCCCTTTGAAAAGTGCCCCGACTTTACGGGGAAGAAGGTCATTTGCTTTGCGCTGAGGGACAAGAGCCTGCTGGATACTCTTCGGGGACGGAAGCCGGTGGGCGGCATCTTCCTCCTCTCCCTCTGCCTTGCTGAAGCCAGAGGGTGCCATCTTTCTTATTTAAAAAATTATTTTCTTCTTTTTTGGTGGGCGCCAACTTTTCACTCCCCATGTGCCTCACTCCGGCCAGAAAGAGCACCAGCTTTGCGTTCTTTATCTGCCCCATTCCAGAGTGCCGGCGTCTCCCGGAGGGGCGCCTCAGAAAATGAGTCCCTCTGAAATCGAGTTCCCTTATTAGGTCTGTTGAGCCTGAGCTGCCCGTTTTCCTTGCTTGGCACCCTGCTGTCAGAGTTTGGCCGCAGGCACATGAGCCCTTGCTCGGTTTTAGGTCTGCATACATCAAGCGATGCAGTGCCTGTGGATTCCAGTCAGGGATGCCCCCTGACCACCTGGCTCTGGAGGCCAGGTGGGCTTGCGTTCCTGGGACTGTTAACAATCAGAAGTTCTTATTGGACTGCCATGCTCAGGGCACTGCAGGAACAGCAGACTGAACACAACCCCCCCACCCTTGTCTTTCTGAGAAAGAGGCCTATTTGCTTGCCCAGGAGCTTTGGCACACTCCCAGGGGCCCACAGAGGTGCTCTCCGAAACGGAGGCTGGGGGAGGCAGTGTTTGTGCTCTCCCTCTGCCTTGCTCCAGCCCACGGGTATCCTCCAGAAAGGCGCTTGTCTGGGGCCTTGATTGTTGTGGCTGCTGCCAAAGGATGTCTCTGTATCATCTGGCTCTGGTGGCCAGCAGGGCTTTTGACCCTGGATCCCAAAGGACTGTAACCAATGAAGAAAGAGTTCTTAAGCAGCTACCCTCAGCCCAGGACCCAGCATAAGACAAGAGATCCAGGGGCTCAGGCTTTCTGTGACGGAGGACTATTAGCTTATCATCACAGCTGCAGCCTGAGGGGCAGGCTTCTCTCTAAACACACACCTGAAGGCTGACTGTAAACCTCTCCTAAGACACTATCCTCACGCTCTCCCTCACCCTTGCTCCAGTGCCAGCATCTCTTGGAGGGGAGCTCTTTACTTGCCCTGGTTTTTATGTCTGGTGTATAATATTCCCTTATTATCCATCTGATGACTGTAGGTCTGGAGTGACAGCCTCATTTCATTCCTGATGTTGCTAATTTATGTTGTCTGTCTTTCTTGTAAGTCTGCTAACCTTACAAGGCTAGCGGTTTCTTTGCAATTAATCTTTGCAAAGAAACATCCATTCAGTTCATGGATATTTCCTCTATTGTTTTTCTTTCTATTTTACTGACTTTTGCTCTTCATTATTTCCTTCCTTGTGCTTGCTTTGGATTTATTTTGCCTCCACTGATGAGTCTCTGGCAGGGAAGGTAGGAGTGCTTCATTACTGACACTGCAGGGGTGGAAGAGGGTGGGGAGACACTGCCCTAGCTGGGAAGGGGACTGGCACCTCATTATAGCCAGGGAAGGGTTTAAGTTCAGGCTCTCCAGGTGTTCCCTACTGACATCATGGGGCAGGGGTAGCAGGCAGGTGGGGAGGTGGTGGGAGGGCTCATTACTTCTTGGTGGGGATGCAAGTTTCAGCTCTCTACTCAGCCATCTCGGATACCACCCCAGGAAGGGATTTGAGGACCCTCATTAAAACCTAGAGAGAGTGGAACTCTAGGCCCCCCACTTAGCCTTCACTGGTGTGGGTAGGGGCTGGACAAGATTTTTCTAGTGTTCTGGCTAAAGTAAAGCAGTCATTATTGAGGAGTATAGCTCAAGTGGTAGAATACGTGCTTAGCATGCACAAGGTCCTGGGTTCAATTCCCCAGTACCTCCATTTAAAAAAAAAATAATAGTTTGAATTGTTCATTTTAAAATGGTTAATTTCTAGATTGTGAATTTCACCTCAGTAAATTATTTAAATAAATAAATGAAATGTCAAAATAAAAAGAAAAAAAGAGCATAAAGCATAAAAAACGCTAAGTTTAAGTTTTACAACATAATGATTTGATATATAGATATTGCAAAATGATTACTACCGTAAGTTTAGTTACCATCCATCACCTCACCTATTTACAACTGTTTTTTCCTTGTGATGAGAACTTTTAAGATCTACTCCCTTAGCAACTTCCAAATATACACTGCAGTATTGTTAACTACAGTCAACATGTCATATCACCAGGACTTACTGATCATGTAACTGGAAGTTTGTGTTTTTTGACCTCCTTCACATAATTCAAGACATGGAAGCAACCTAAATGTCCATCGACAGATGACTGGATAAAGAAGATGTCGTGTGTGTGTATATATATATATATATAAATACACACACACACACACACACACACACACACACACAATGAAATACTACTCAGACATAAAAAAGAATGAAATAATGCCATTTGCAGCAACATGGATGGACCTGGAGATTATTACACTAAGTCAAGTAAGTCAGACAAAGACAAATATCACATGATATCACTTATATGTGAAATTTAAAAAAATAACACAAATGAATTTATTTACAAAACAGAAACAGACTCACAGACATAGAGAACAAATTTATGGTTACCACAAGGGGGAAGGTGGGTAATTAGGAATTAGCAAATACAAACTATAATATACAAAATAGTAGGTCCTCCTGTATAGCACAGGGAACTATATTCAATACCTTGTAATAACCTCTAATGAAAAAGAATATATACATAAAGGTAGTACTAAATCGCTAAGCTGTACACCAGAAACTAACACAACATTGTAAGTCAACTATACTTCAATAAAAAATAAAACAAAACGTAGAAAACACATACCCATGGGCAAAACACAAATGTTATTCAGCCACACAAAAGGAGGAAATACTGTCATTTGCAACAACATGGATGGACCTTGGGGGCATTATGCTAAAAAAGTCAAACAGACAAAGACAAATACTGGGTAATCTCACTTACATGCGGAATAAAAAAATAAACCCCCAAACCTCACAGAAATAGCTATCAGACTGTTGGTTGTCAGGGGTGGGGGTGTGAAGAATGGGGGATCCCACTTTTTCTTATAGAAATTCTCACTTTCTTTGAACTACACAGCTTAAATTCCTCTCTACTACACAGATTATTTCCTGATCGGTAGCCCCAGTTGTTCTCACTCCCTACTTTGTTTTTTCCCCTTATTCCTTATGTTGTTTAACATCTGCATTGATTCATTGCTGCTCAGTTACTCTTGGTCTGCCCAGGAGACAATAAAACCTTTGAAAATATGGTCTATGATTTACTCATCCATCTTTGGGTCCCTGCTATAGTTTTAATAGTACCTCAGACTCTGTAAATGTTTGGTAAGTATTTGTTTAGTAGTATCAGTCAGAAGCCCAAAGTTTTCTGGTTTCCAATTAATGACTTACACTTTGGCTAATAACTCTTTTCACATTGTTACGTTGTCTGACTTGTCATTCACCAAAATGGAGTAAAAGGACCACTGGCACATGACTTCAATGGTTAGGGTCAACAGCTGTTATTAATGAATAATCAAACTGGCCAATTAGGGAAAAAAATGAAAGTGGTTTGGTAATTTCAAGTGCCTTAACTCCAGTTGAGTGCTTGTGATACAATCAAATTCTCAGAAACAACAAGTAGACTTTAAAGGACCCCACATAAGCTTCTATATGACTGCTTAAGATGGAAAAGAAATAATTACAGCTTGCGTTACAGGCTTTCTCTGATTTAGTTGACACTAGCATAGCCGAGATATAGTGTGAATTTGGGAAACTTGTGAAAGGTTTTTATCTTTGCCACTGGAAAGGAGAGAAATGTATTTCTTTAAAATGAAAACTTACCTGTAGCGGGGGTGGGGAAGAAAAATTGCAAAAGGCAAGGAAATTACAGAATCTACAATTTTTGGTGATTGTGATTTTCCACTATCCCCAGTAGATAAGCTTGAAATTAGGTGACAGTAAGAGGTGGTTTCTGCGGCAAGTACTTCAGTTCGTATTAGATTTCCAATAGCCATTTAGATTTGGCATGATCCCCAAAATGCTTTAAGATACTGTAACTTCTTTTATTTTCAAAGTTTTATAGATGTTTTAAAACCTTTCCTGATATAATGAGCTCTTTAAATGGTGAGTGATATCTGTAATTCCTCAGGTGAATCCTTTCCTTTACATCTTTTTTAAAGACAAAGATATTCAATCTACATTGACAAAGAACACCAGCTGATTATTACTCTGATAGGAAAGACAATCTCTGTAAAATTCTGTTTCTCTGAGAAACCGCTCTCTTAAGATTTCAAAATGCCCTCTTCACCTGGACCTCCAACAAACCCTTTCCTTCCTTCAAAGTTCAGTTTGGCTCCCAAATTCTTCAAAAAGCCTTTTTTCACCTTTTAGTCCTAGTGACAACCCCCTAACTTGAACACCTGGTATGTGGTATTTGTCACTTGGCACAGAGTACCTTGTAGATTTAATTACTTTTTATGTTGATCTGGTCTTCCCAATTATAACATGAGGCCCTTAAAGTCAAGGACTCTTATTACAGTGTCCCGAGCATAATGGGACACTGTCAATAGATGCATGTGGTTTTAATAAGGATGCTTTTGCCTCAAATTTATGGAGGTCCCTTTCACTGTATCAAGCAAGGAGAGTGTCATAGAATGAATGTTTGTATTCCTGCCCCATTCATATGTTGAAACCTAACCCTCAGTGTGATGGTATATTAGGGAGGGGGCCCTTTGGGAGGCAATCATCTCCTGAGGGTGGGGCTCCCATAACGAGATTAGTGCCCTTGTAAAGGTGCCCCTTCCACCATGTGAGGGCACAGCGAAAGACAGCCACGTGTGCACCAGGAGGAGGGCCCTGACCAGGCCCTGA